GTTTCTCCAGCTTTGTAATTCCTCCAATTGTATGCATGTAATGTGTGCTATTCGCGTTGGATGAGACCAAATGTGTCGAGACATTCGAGAACAGGACATGAAATGGGTTACGAATGACAGTCATGTGAGCCTGGTCGAAACTCCTCTTCTGGTACATGGTATATTTTCTTTGGCGTGGCAATATGGAATGAGTGTTTTGAAAAAGAAAACAGAGCGACGGATGATTGGGGAGACGAGTGGGTACGTTTTTCGTGGAGAAAAATGCTGGTTGTTTGTATTGTTTGTCTGATGACGAAGGGATAGAAAAGTCGAGATATAAAGACAGTCGAGTGAAGGAGGTGGAGAGTGTGGATGGAAAGTGAGAGTGGTGAAAAAGAGGGGCAAAAGTGTAGTCCACGACGGGACTCGAACCCGCAATCTCCCGCTTCGTAGGCGGATGCCCTATCCAATTGGGCCACGTAGACGCTATACTATACACCCACACAACACGATACCATACAACCGAGACACAACAACACATACCACCAAGCATATTCCACTCCCCACGACAACAACGATACCACATTCACACCAAGTTACATCAACTACACCATATATATACACAGTCAACACACTACACCCTCATACCTTATACTCACCGACATATATACAACACACCAGCTACTTCCTACTACCGACCTCGTGGCAGTCGTCACACACATCAATGGATGGCCGTGGGTCGTGCTTGGAAATTGATGAGATCTAATCTGGATGGCTTGACTGCAACAATGCGTTTTACTCGAGTCAAATCAGGTACATCTTCCCATACAAATGGCGTCAATGTTGTGGCTTTATCCGCTGCATTTCTCACACGAACAGCTCACTCCAGTTCGTCTACATTGATGGATTCAAGCATCGTAATCGCAGCTTTCTCTGTGTCGAAAGTTGGGACGCTTTTCATGGCAAACAAAAAGTGTCCCAATATGATATTCTACTCTCCTTTTCGTCCAAAGTATGGTCACTACATAATGACCAGTTTGACTCACGATTATAAGAGCGCCATCATTCTTGCACAGCCGAGGCCACATATATATGAGCAAGTTGTTGTATTCCAAGTGCGTGGACATGTTGGAAGAGCGTATTTATCGTCTTCCATTTCACACCATCGACAAAAGTATGATGGATCGAGTCTCGCGCAACGTATTGGATTCAAGATATTGTTTCTCCAGCTTTGTAATTCCTCCAATTGTATGCATGTAATGTGTGCTATTCGCGTTGGATGAGACCAAATGTGTCGAGACATTCGAGAACAGGACATGAAATGGGTTACGAATGACAGTCATGTGAGCCTGGTCGAAACTCCTCTTCTGGTACATGGTATATTTTCTTTGGCGTGGCAATATGGAATGAGTGTTTTGAAAAAGAAAACAGAGCGACGGATGATTGGGGAGACGAGTGGGTACGTTTTTCGTGGAGAAAAATGCTGGTTGTTTGTATTGTTTGTCTGATGACGAAGGGATAGAAAAGTCGAGATATAAAGACAGTCGAGTGAAGGAGGTGGAGAGTGTGGATGGAAAGTGAGAGTGGTGAAAAAGAGGGGCAAAAGTGTAGTCCACGACGGGACTCGAACCCGCAATCTCCCGCTTCGTAGGCGGATGCCCTATCCAATTGGGCCACGTAGACGCTATACTATACACCCACACAACACGATACCATACAACCGAGACACAACAACACATACCACCAAGCATATTCCACTCCCCACGACAACAACGATACCACATTCACACCAAGTTACATCAACTACACCATATATATACACAGTCAACACACTACACCCTCATACCTTATACTCACCGACATATATACAACACACCAGCTACTTCCTACTACCGACCTCGTGGCAGTCGTCACACACATCAATGGATGGCCGTGGGTCGTGCTTGGAAATTGATGAGATCTAATCTGGATGGCTTGACTGCAACAATGCGTTTTACTGGAGTCAAATCAGGTACATCTTCCCATACAAATGGCGTCAATGTTGTGGCTTTATCCGCTGCATTTCTCACACGAACAGCTCACTCCAGTTCGTCTACATTGATGGATTCAAGCATCGTAATCGCAGCTTTCTCTGTGTCGAAAGTTGGGACGCTTTTCATGGCAAACAAAAAGTGTCCCAATATGATATTCTACTCTCCTTTTCGTCCAAAGTATGGTCACTACATAATGACCAGTTTGACTCACGATTATAAGAGCGCCATCATTCTTGCACAGCCGAGGCCACATATATATGAGCAAGTTGTTGTATTCCAAGTGCGTGGACATGTTGGAAGAGCGTATTTATCGTCTTCCATTTCACACCATCGACAAAAGTATGATGGATCGAGTCTCGCGCAACGTATTGGATTCAAGATATTGTTTCTCCAGCTTTGTAATTCCTCCAATTGTATGCATGTAATGTGTGCTATTCGCGTTGGATGAGACCAAATGTGTCGAGACATTCGAGAACAGGACATGAAATGGGTTACGAATGACAGTCATGTGAGCCTGGTCGAAACTCCTCTTCTGGTACATGGTATATTTTCTTTGGCGTGGCAATATGGAATGAGTGTTTTGAAAAAGAAAACAGAGCGACGGATGATTGGGGAGACGAGTGGGTACGTTTTTCGTGGAGAAAAATGCTGGTTGTTTGTATTGTTTGTCTGATGACGAAGGGATAGAAAAGTCGAGATATAAAGACAGTCGAGTGAAGGAGGTGGAGAGTGTGGATGGAAAGTGAGAGTGGTGAAAAAGAGGGCAAAAGTGTAGTCCACGACGGGACTCGAACCCGCAATCTCCCGCTTCGTAGGCGGATGCCCTATCCAATTGGGCCACGTAGACGCTATACTATACACCCACACAACACGATACCATACAACCGAGACACAACAACACATACCACCAAGCATATTCCACTCCCCACGACAACAACGATACCACATTCACACCAAGTTACATCAACTACACCATATATATACACAGTCAACACACTACACCCTCATACCTTATACTCACCGACATATATACAACACACCAGCTACTTCCTACTACCGACCTCGTGGCAGTCGTCACACACATCAATGGATGGCCGTGGGTCGTGCTTGGAAATTGATGAGATCTAATCTGGATGGCTTGACTGCAACAATGCGTTTTACTGGAGTCAAATCAGGTACATCTTCCCATACAAATGGCGTCAATGTTGTGGCTTTATCCGCTGCATTTCTCACACGAACAGCTCACTCCAGTTCGTCTACATTGATGGATTCAAGCATCGTAATCGCAGCTTTCTCTGTGTCGAAAGTTGGGACGCTTTTCATGGCAAACAAAAAGTGTCCCAATATGATATTCTACTCTCCTTTTCGTCCAAAGTATGGTCACTACATAATGACCAGTTTGACTCACGATTATAAGAGCGCCATCATTCTTGCACAGCCGAGGCCACATATATATGAGCAAGTTGTTGTATTCCAAGTGCGTGGACATGTTGGAAGAGCGTATTTATCGTCTTCCATTTCACACCATCGACAAAAGTATGATGGATCGAGTCTCGCGCAACGTATTGGATTCAAGATATTGTTTCTCCAGCTTTGTAATTCCTCCAATTGTATGCATGTAATGTGTGCTATTCGCGTTGGATGAGACCAAATGTGTCGAGACATTCGAGAACAGGACATGAAATGGGTTACGAATGACAGTCATGTGAGCCTGGTCGAAACTCCTCTTCTGGTACATGGTATATTTTCTTTGGCGTGGCAATATGGAATGAGTGTTTTGAAAAAGAAAACAGAGCGACGGATGATTGGGGAGACGAGTGGGTACGTTTTTCGTGGAGAAAAATGCTGGTTGTTTGTATTGTTTGTCTGATGACGAAGGGATAGAAAAGTCGAGATATAAAGACAGTCGAGTGAAGGAGGTGGAGAGTGTGGATGGAAAGTGAGAGTGGTGAAAGAGGGGCAAAAGTGTAGTCCACGACGGGACTCGAACCCGCAATCTCCCGCTTCGTAGGCGGATGCCCTATCCAATTGGGCCACGTAGACGCTATACTATACACCCACACAACACGATACCATACAACCGAGACACAACAACACATACCACCAAGCATATTCCACTCCCCACGACAACAACGATACCACATTCACACCAAGTTACATCAACTACACCATATATATACACAGTCAACACACTACACCCTCATACCTTATACTCACCTACATATATACAATATATCAGCTACTTCCTACTACCGACCTCGTGGCAGTCGTCACACACATCAATGGATGGCCGTGGGTCGTGCTTGGAAATTGATGAGATCTAATCTGGATGGCTCGACTGCAACAATGCGTTTTACTGGAGTCAAATCAGGCTACATCTTCCCATACAAATGGCGTCAATGTTGTGGCTTTATCGATTATAAGAGCGCCATCATTCTTGCACAGCCGAGGCCACATATATATGAGCAAGTTGTTGTATTCCAAGTGCGTGGACATGTTGGAAGAGCGTATTTATCGTCTTCCATTTCAGCTTTATCATTGACAAAAGTATGATGGATCCGAGTCTCGCGCAACGTATTGGATTCAAGATATTGTTTCTCCAGCTTTGTAATTCCTCCAATTGTATGCATGTAATGTGTGCTATTCGCGTTGGATGAGACCAAATGTGTCGAGACATTCGAGAACAGGACATGAAATGGGTTACGAATGACAGTCATGTGAGCCTGGTCGAAACTCCTCTTCTGGTACATGGTATATTTTCTTTTCTTTGGCGTGGCAATATGGAATGAGTGTTTTGAAAAAGAAAACAGAGCGACGGATGATTGGGGAGACGAGTGGGTACGTTTTTCGTGGAGAAAAATGCTGGTTGTTTGTATTGTTTGTCTGATGACGAAGGGATAGAAAAGTCGAGATATAAAGACAGTCGAGTGAAGGAGGTGGAGAGTGTGGATGGAAAGTGAGAGTGGTGAAAAAGAGGGGCAAAAGTGTAGTCCACTACGGGACTCGAACCGCAATCTCCCGCTTCGTAGGCAAATGCCTCATCCAATTGGGCCACGTAGATGCTATACGATACACCCACACAACACGATACCATACAACCGAGACACAACAACACATACCACCAAACATATTCCACTCCCACGCCAGCAACAACGATACCACATTCACACCAAGTTACATCAACTACACCATATATATACACAGTCAACACACTACACCCTCATACCTTATACTCACCGACATATATACAACACACCAGCTACTTCCTACTACTGACCTCGTGGCAGTCGTCACACACATCAATGGATGGCCGTGGGTCGTGCTTGGAAATTGATGAGATCTAATCTGGATGGCTTGACTGCAACAATGCGTTTTACTCGAGTCAAATCAGGTACATCTTCCCATACAAATGGCGTCAATGTTTCTTATCCGCTGCATTTCTCACACGAACAGCTCACTCCAGTTCGTCTACATTGATGGATTC